TCAGAGTTCAGGTGACCGTTCTCTGTCTAGTTCATTCTCCTTTTGAGAGCAAAATTCATTCACACAAGGAAGAAACTTCCCATTCTCACAGAATTGTTTAAACTTTGTATTTTGGGAGACACTTCTTTTGTGGCTGATCTCAGAATTGAAGATAGGACTTAAATAAGTGGGATTTTCACGGGCTGAAATTCTTACAAGTTTTTGTCCCTTTTTAGTTTTAGTATTTGTATATATCTTTTATCACTTAAAAAAAGACTTAGAGCTTCAGAATGGGAATTTCTTCATTCATTGAATTCATGGTACTTCTCAAATTTATTTGAAACTTTGAGGTTCATGCGCCACTTCTTCGGCTGGCTAGCTATCTGGTTTGCTTAACCCCTCGTGAGTATGTTCTAGATAGTGGGGTCTGAAGTCTACCTGCTAATCCTTAGTTTTTGGCTGCAGGTCCTGAAGCATAATAATGGTGCCCCATAGACTTTTTAAAAATTAATATATTTTATTTTTAGAGCAGTTTAAATATACAGAAAAATGAGCAGAAAACACGAGGAGTTCCCGTACAGCCCTGTGTCCCCTCTTATTAATGTGTTGCATTAGTGTGACACATTTGTTATAATTGATGAGCCAATATTGATCCATTACTATTAACTTCAGTCCACAGTTTACCTTAGGGTTTAATCTTTGTTTTGTGAATCTTATGGATTTTGGCACATATCTAATACCATATATCCAGCATTACAGTATCAAACAGAATAGTTTCCACTGCCCGAAAAGTCCTCTGTGCCCCACCATACTCATCTCTCCCTCCCTTCTTTCCCCCAATTCCCTGGCAACCATTGATCTCTTATAGCCTCTGTAGTTTTCTCTTCTTCAGACTGTCATACACTTGGAACCATACAGTACATATTCCTTTCAAACTGGCTTCTTTCACTTAGCAATATTTGTTTAAGATTCCTCCATGTATTTGCAAAGCTATAGACTTTTATTTTATTTTTTAATTACATTTATTGGGGTGACTGACATTGGTTAATAAAATTATATAGGTTTTAAATGTACGATTCTATGATATAGAATCTGAATATGATCTGTATATTGTATTGTGTGTTTACCATCCAAAGTCAAATTTTCTAAGGCTATAGACTTTTAAAACTTCACCAGCAATCCGTATGAATTACTGACTCTATGCAGGCAGAGTGATAGGGGCTGGGTATACTGCAGTAGACAAGACAAGAATATCCCTGTCCTTGATCAAAGCTCCCCAAAAGTCATGTATATTCAGTACCCAGCAACAACAGCTTTCCCTAGGCAACAAGTACTGGGCCAATTATTTTGAAGGTCCTCTCTGAGGAGATTATTTGCTTACGCATCCACTATGAGGAGACCCATGTACCCACAAGAGATTTACCATGTTCCTGACTAGCCAGTTCCTTCTCCTATGTGCAACAGCCCTGCGGTTCACAGTGCGGATCCTGTTTTCTTCTTTTTTTTTTTTTTAAACAAAATTGAATTTATTGAGGTCATATTAATTCAAATCATATAGGTTTAAGGGATACAATTCTGTAGTGCACCATCTGTATTTTGTATGGTGTGCTCACCACCTCAAGTCATGTCTTTTTCCACTGCTCTAACTCTTGATTATAATAACATTTGATGAAGCCAGAGAAAGGCAGCTGCCCCAAAAGGTGGTCTCTGCTTGTTTTCACAGCCTGAAGTGTCTCTGGATCTTCCTCCTTACCAAATGACTAGCATATATAAATTTATTTCTGCCTATAATCAGTAATAAAATAAAAAAATTATAGTTAAACTTTCAAGAGATAATTTATGAATCACCAGTAATATTGATGCAAAGGAAGATGCAAGACGTCCTCCAAGTCGTTAGCTGGTTCCTTCCCCTGAGGTAGGCACGATGCATCTATGTGCACTAGTTTTCACCGGCTTAGCAAAAAGAAATCTAGTCCCAGGCTTGAATCAGTTCTGTTTCATTACAAAGTATTTCACATTGTAAGGGGTTTTGTTGTTGTTTTTATTGTTCACTTTTCAGATTGAGCTAAATATTCACTATAATAGTAGCTATAAGTTTTTACTGAATGTGGAACATAATATACCCTAATTTAAGGAGCAAACATTTATCCTTTTACACAGGGAGTAGTTGTTTTAAGCCATTTGAGTTCTGCTTGTGTTTATTTTCTGATAAGACCAAATGGTGTTAAAAACAGATGATATTATCAAACAGAGTAGTATTACATATACAGTTAGAAACAATACTGCTAATAACATAAAAATGCACAGCAGATCAGTAAGTTATAGTAGGGTTTCTTTTCCTCTTTAAACCTTGAGGTTTTCTGGATTATAACATATATTTACAGAGTCATGAGAACCAAACCAGTTTTAAGCAGATTAGAAAACAGACTACACGTGATGATATCATGATGCCTGAAGAAGCGAATTTGGTAATTCTCTGATTAATACATGAGCACAATGGTAATACTGAGAGGAATACCCTATTTGTCACTGAATACATTCATAGACTTTATTTTAAAGTCTTTGGCCCACAAAAGAGGAGTGTAAAAATGGCTATTTAATCACAAAGAACATGAATGCTCACGAACAATTTTTTTTTGCCCCTCCTGCTGTAAGAAAGAAATCTGTAACTGAAAGATAAGAAAATCTGAAAAGGGGCTTTATATAATATATAACTTTATATCAAGAATGTACATCTGGTCCTGACAGGCTAGCTCGGTTGGTTAGAGTATCATCTCCATACACCAAGGTTGTAGGTCCGATTTCTAGTTTGGGCACAAACGGGAATCAACCAACGAATACATGAATAAGTGAAACAACGACCCTCTCTCTCTCGAAGAGAAAGGATGTGCATGTCTTTATGACAAAAGCATCTACATGAAGAATAAAAAGGGGCTTAATGATTTTGATTATTCAGGATGATTTATTATTGGTAAAAAGAGAGGATTTTAAAATGAGAATTAAGATAACACTTGTTGTTTTTGCCCTTATGGCCATCTTCACATGCAGAAGGCACCTGAAGTTCTTTGACTTGGAGGCAATCTGTACTCTCTTTGATCACAAACCTGTTATATTTTTTCCTTCATCAGTCTTCACTCCATACACATCTTATGGCTGTAGGCTCACCCCCTCCACCCCCTGCCCCTTTAATGAGGGAAGCAATATATGGAGTGAGCAGAAAAGTGTGGTCAGACGAGTGGATGCCCAGGAAGTGCCAGGTCCTGGGAGAGGTGCTGCTGGGGGTACAGGGTGAGCGGGCCCTTTCATTCAGCCAGTGTTGGAACGAGCCGGTGCTACCTGGGCCACAGTCAATATCACCAAGTCTTTTCCTTCTTCTAAATCTCTAATCATATCCTCTCTATATTTCATTTCGTCACCCATACCTGATGCAGAATAAGCATACATCTTAACGAAGAGCACCAGTGAATCTTTTTCAAATTAAAAAATATTTTTTTCAATTACAGTTTATATTCAATATTATTTTGTTAGTGTCAGGTGTACAGCATAGTGGTTAAACAATCATATACTTTACAAAGTGTCTTCCCTGGTATTTTCAGTACTGGTCTGGCACCATATACAGTTACTACAATATTTTTTAAAATATATTTTATTTATTTATTTTTAGAGAGAGGGGAAGGGAAGAAGAAAGAGTGGGAGAGAAACATCAGTGTGTGGTTGCCTCTCATGTGTCCCCTACTGGGGACCTGGCCTGCAACCCAGGCATGTGCCCTGACTGGGAATCAAACGTGTAGCCCTTTGGTTCATAGGCCTGTGCTCAATCCACTGAGCTATACCAGCCAGGGCCACAGTCATTACATTATTATTGACTATATTTCCTATGCTGTACTTTACATCTCCATAAATATTTTGGAACCACCAACTGCAACAGTGAATGTTAACCTTCTCCTCACATTTTATATAAAAATTAACTTAAATTTGATTATAAATCTAAATGTAAGAGCTAAAACTATACTGTTCTAGAAGAAAACAGAGAAAATCATGGTATCTTTGGGTTTGGCAAAACCCATAACCTAAAAAAGAAAAAAATCAATAAATTGGACTTCATAAAAATTAAAATGCAAATCGAGACCACAATGAAATAACACTCTACACCTGATAGAATGGGTAAGATTAAAAAAACCCAGTGCTACCAAGTGCTGGGGAGGATGTGGGGCAATTGCAACCGTCATGTACTGCGCATGAGAACTCTTAGGGGTACGACCATTCTGGAAAGCAGTCGGCCATTTCTTAGAGTTAAACATACACCAGATGAATGACCCAGCCATTCCACCCTCAGACATGGACCCAAGAGAAAAATGAAAGCGTATACATTAGCAACACGTGAATATCTTGTCTGCCATCAACTTTCTCTTAACAGTTTTAACATCCATTGACAATCCTTGCTTGAATTGATTATTTCATTAGGTTTCTTTAAAAACCAGTTTTTTAAATTCTAACAATTTTTTTCTCATTGCATTAGCTGGCTTTCTTCTTGATCAACTGAGAAAGAAAAGGTTTTGAAGGAAACGGATTTCCTGTCTTGTTCCCATGGACAAACTCATGCTCATCCTTCAGGGCTCTGCTCAGTGAGCCTTTTTCTGAAACCCTGATCTCATTCTCCTCCCTAATTTCCTAACCGCTGAGATTGTTTTTAAGCCATATTGCCAATATTAGCTTTCTCTTTTTACTCTTTCCTTTAAAAACACTGTGTCCATGCCATGTTTTAGGTAGTGTTTTGAGCATGGGACACACGGTAGTGAATAAACCAGTTGAAGTTGGCCTATATTCTAGTGCATGTGTAGGAAGGAGACTATAAATACATGAATAAATAAAAATGTACTAGAATCCCAGATAGAAGTACTACTGTGAAGAAGAAGAAAGCCATGAGAGAAGAAAGGGTGAGGAGGGGGTATGTGTTATTTTAGACAGGAAGTCAAGGAAGGAATATCTGACACCCATTGGTGACCTGTCCACTCTTCTAGGTTTTCTGGAATGATCCAGCATAAGCCAACCTTACTGGAAACACTTGTGACTCCCTCCTGCCTGCCTCATGGAGGACAGCCCTCAGCCAGTGGCATGCTGGAGCTGAAGGACAATCACTCTAGCTTCCCTGCCTCCGAGGGTGGGTTGACTTTGAAGGGCTTTGTCTCCCAGAGGTCCCTGTGGGAATGAGCCCCAGTTGTCCTCAGCATGCCCTGCTCATGCCGGTGCTGTGTGTGGTTGCCTTCCCTCGCTGGCTCACTTCTCCATCCTCTAGCAGCACTTCTTGGTATTTACATTGAGAACATACTGCTTACACTCACATCCAGTTTGGGAGGAACCCTGCCTAAGTCAGTAGGTCCTAAAAGTGATGCAAGAAAGGAGACCCTCAAAATGGCACTAAAGAATTGGATCACTTGCTGGTTAGATGGCAACAAAGACCCCAATACTGTTGGCTGATGAGGCCGTGGTAACCTCTGGCCTGCTGTAGTATCCCTGGAGCAAAGAGTCTTCTTACCAGCGATGAAGACAATATTCTGGTAGAATGCCTTGAATTGTATCTAGCATTTTTCAGGAATGATTCCTTGAAACTTGAAAACAGCAATGAGATGGAGTTGCTGGAATTACTTAGGAGAGTAATGAAGAAGGGGGTAAAAAAAATCATACAGGTTAGAATCAAGAATGCATTTATTATATAATATCAGAGAAACTACCAGCTAAAAATGTTCCCTGGTGGGGCTCGGAGGACATTCCATTCACTAAAGCAATAGGCAATATGCTAGTACATTCTGAGAAGCTCAGAACTGCTTGTCATCTAGGTTGAGACTGATAGTAAGAGATGCTCTAGAGTCAGTGGGAATAGGATTCTAGAGGCCAGATTGGCAGCACTAAGCCATGAAGGGTCATGGAATATAATTATGGCCACTTACATCAACCTGAATACATCTTAGGGATCTATTGTCGGGGGGAAATGTGAGTCCCAAAAGAACACATGAATTATTTACAGTTTTAAACATGCAATGTGTGTGTGTGTGTGTGATAGGTTAGTAAACACAAAACTAGAACAATGGTTCTGGGAGGAAGAGGGAAGAGAGTAGGGCCAGAGGGAGGTATATAATAGGGCTTCTCGGGTATTGATAATATTTCTAAAATATCTTTCTAAAGCCAGATGATGAGTTCCACAGGTGCTCTTTTGGTTGTTTTTCTCCCAAAACATTATACATTTGCAGTGTAGTCAATATTTTACGAATAGGCTTAATGAAATAAAGCCTTGCCATAATTCCATGCTGATGTGACTCACAGCAGAGAGAGTGGAAGGGGCCTGGGTCGGTCCTGGGGTTGGCAACAGACAGCTCCGGATTCAAGCCGCTTACTGACTGCACAGCCATAGGGGAGACCGAGTCCCTGAGTGGGAGGTTTCTGACCAGTAACATGACTTGGATCATATCAATCCAGCAGGGTAGTAGGAATGATTAAATGAGATAGCTTACATAAATCTTATAGTCTGTGCCTGGCACATAGCAGGTGCTTAAGAAATAACAGTTACTATTAACTAACTTGGCCCATGTGTCCCATTTTTTTCCCTTTTAGAGATTTTCCATCTTTCTCATTTGACTTCATTCCACTTGTTTGCTGTAAGCAAAGCATAATGCTGGGTAAGCTATGCCTTATTTTAAGTTTTCAAAATATCATTAAGTCGTTGGATCCTGTCATTCAGTCCTCAGTACCTAGTACAGTTTGGTCCCCGAGACCCTGCCAGTATTTGCATGTAAACAACATGCTGACACAGATATGTCATGATTTTTCAAGCCATGACATCATGTTGTTTCTATCATAATTTAAGATGATCTCAACCCATAAATGCACACATGTGACCCTACCCCATGCCCTTCATTTTAATACAGTTTTACTATAATCTTTGATATTTTCCTTCTGTGTTGTCTCAGTTTTCTCCAGGCTAATTTTCTGTTTGCCTTCGCATTAGACTTTCTGCAAGTGTCTGATGGCCCTTGGCCTGTTTTCTACTTCACCTGCATTGTACCTTCAGAGGCAACCGGTGACTTCAGCTTTTGACATTTTCCAGAGTTTTGCACCAAGAATTGGCTGGTTATTGCTGGACACTTTGCTGCAGAATCTTAAAGTATATAGCAGAATCTTAAAGTATATCAATCCAGCAGGGTAGTAGGAATGATTAAATGAGATAGCTTACATAAATCTTGTAGTCCACGAATTGGCTGGTTATTGTTATTCCTTTTCCACCTGCTTTCTATCTTCTAGAAATTTCTTGGACACCTCATTTCTGCCATCATTTCATCTCATGTTCTCTTACTTTTTATGCCTTTTTAATTCCTTGCCAGTACAACACACATTCTGAAGTGTGTCCTTTATTTTGCTATAAAGGACATTACTGGGACAACTAATGAAATTTAATGATGGCCCCAGGATTAGGTAGTGTGGACTATCAATATTAATTTCTTGATTAATTTCTTAATTTTGATGGTTGTGTTGTGACTATGTGGAAGAATGTCCTACTTGCCCCACCTTAAATATTTGGAAGTGAAGGGCCATGAGTTTGGCAACTTGTTTCCAAATAGTTCAAGACAAAAGAAGTTCTTTACACTGTCCTTGCAAGTTGTCTGTTTCAGATTGTTTTAAAAATAAAACAGTACTTATTTTTGTTTTAAGGGGGAAATGGATATTTAATCATTCTTACACATGGGTCTAAAAAAAGAGCTTAAAATGCCACTAGTAAGATGTGTTTTACAATGATGATATAAGAGACTAACAGCAACCATCTGGAGATCACAATTTGCTTATTAAAGAATGCTCCTGAATTTAAATTGCTAGAATTTTTAAACTACAAGAAGCAAAAAAAGAGGCTTCTACATATTACTGGTATTTGTGTGCAAAACAATGGGGAAAATTGCTATTTAAAACAAAACCCAGCGGGAGCTATTTCTAGGGTTTAGACGGTGACGTTTCATATCTGTGATAAATGGTCATTTTAGAAAAAAGATCTTTAAGGGTGATATGGGCTGAATGTTCACATGTTGAAATCTTGTTTCCACCCTGCCCACCATGTAATGGGTCTAGGAGGTGAGGCCTGAGAGGTCATTGGGGTCGGATGGAGGTCAGGACAGCAGAGCTCTCACAGCCACCATTAGCGCCCTTCTAAGAGTTAGGAGTTGCTATTTTTTGCTGTCCGTCATGTGAGGACACAATGAAAAGTCAGCAGTCTGACTCAGAAGAGGGCTCTCACCAGAACTCTACCACGCTGGCATTTTGACCTGACTTCAGCCTCCAAAACTGTGGAAAATTAATTTCTGTTGTTTGTAAGCCACCCTGTCTGTGGTATTTTCTTATGGCAGTCGCGACACAGTAAGACAAAAATGTGTCGGACACTGCTAATATCCTACTCCTTACCTGTTTTTCCCACTGTTCTTATAAACAGAATTCCAGCCTCACTTTGAGCAACAACGCCGAGCTTAAACACTTCGCAGCCTCTCTTAGATCCCGCTGTATCCCCAGGGCACCACGAGGTCAGACAGACCCGGAGGGAAGTGTGCTGGACAGGTTGGGGAGAGAACCAGTTTCCCCTTCCCTCCAGTCTGCACGGTGGCTGTGCCTCCTGGGGAACAGCAGCCCATCTGTGACTCATCAGGCCACAGGCTGGATAATAAAAGTCAACATGACATGGGCAGCAATCTAAGGGTGGCAAAGAAAGAAAAGTAGCCTGGGTGCTGGATGGCGTTATTGAGCTGCCGTGCCAATCCTGGGCTTCCTACTAGTGTATTCTTTATTAAGAAAAACAATGAACCCTATACATGTTTATGTCGCTGGATTTTCTCTTATTTGCATCTGTATACATTATTAACAACAATTTTGATGTTTTTTTTTTTTTTGGTAAAAGATTGAGATGCAAGAGAGTAGAATTAAGCAATAGAGCAAAAGGAATCTTGTGTTTAAGATTGATCTGGAGATCTAGGAGGAGCATGTTGGGGCTGACAAGCAAATACAAAGTGGTAGGAAGAGACTTAAGACATAATCTAGAGAGAAATTCACCAAGGTTGCAAGTGGCCAACCGTTTTAGAGAAAGCAATATTGAATTTAAAGTTGTTTCCTCTGATATAAGTTGGTTCTTATACTATAATAATTTGTTATCTTTCTACCTTAAAGTTCACTACATAGAACAAATGGTTTTATGTGGACAATATGAAAGAATAGTGTCCAGTATGGGGCACAGTATTAAAATTATTTGAGGTTGCCAGCCACAGTGGAGAGAGCTGGCCTTGAACTTTTGGTAACATATCAGATGGTAGGTCTTGACATTTCATTTGGTTATTAAAAGAAATATCAACCCTGGAATGAAAGACTGGAGAACCTGAGGATAGCTTCATCTGTGACATGGAAGCCTATTTGTTGAAAAGGAGGCCTTCAACAAAAACCTGGGGGGGGGGGGGGGGCTGGCGTTCCAATATGTGGTACTTCTTTCCCAGAAGAGTCAGGCCCTAAGGTTTTAGTTTCCTCTTGTCTAAAAGTTCTTTTACAGTTTCGATTGGGACTCAGAGCTTATGTTTCTATAAAAAACAGCAACAAAAGGGGACTGCATTCTCCTGTCTGGTCACAAAGGCTGATAAAACTCAACCCCACTAGACCAGAATACTAACATATGTCTTGCTGTTCTTTGTTTCTAAACCCAAACTTGGTATTAAACTCAACAATTTCACACAATACAACTCCATTGTTTGCTCAGGTCACTGTCTGATTGAGGGCGGGTAGCATTCCTTCAAGCAGCAACTAAGGAATCTGGACTCCTAGCATGTGATCCAATTATCTTAACATCTTTGCTTCTAAGCATTGTTGACAGGTTAGAATTCACAAGCTGATTATCTCCTGGGAGGCTCTAGGGATCCGGCCCAGAGTGACATGCACTATTTCTGCCCACATCCTACTAATCCCACGGCCCCAGCCTCACTGCAAGGAACGCTGTGAAATAACCACCTTCCTCCGTGTCCAGGAACAGAAAGGAGGAATGTTGCCACCTGTGCTTACCCTTCAGGGTTTTGGGAAGATGAAATAAATAACTGCACATTCTAGGTTCTTGACAAATTGAGGACCTTTCCTCTCTTTGGACTCGGCTATGTATACTGTAGGGGTGGCAGGTTGCAGTGGTGGTGGCTTCTGGTGCAAAGGACTCCCAGTGAAAAGGTTCTGGTAGAAGAATTGTACCGATCCTGGCAGAGCTCAGCAGAGGCCATGGGCAGAGAATAAGAGAAGGTATGAACTGTGAAGTCCCGTATTCTTGAGTGGGTTCCTGGAAAGTGAGGCTAAATGCAAGGAGGGGGAAAGAGGCAAAAAGGTTTTGGTTGGGAAAAAAATGGAGGGCGTGGCGGGCAAAGGTGGAAGGAAGCAGTGTTTAAGAATCCGTATATGTTACCTTCAGAAAATAATGGAATGCCCTGTATTTCAGTGAGTGACTCCCTCAACTACTAAAATTGTATTAAGTGATGTTGAAGGTGAGTGAAAAAGCTACCGAAGAAAGGGAGATCATTCTTAACTAAAACACACATAATGTTCTTAGTTGACATAAAATACATTGAAAAAGAGAGAAATGATATAATGTAAAGCAGTTACTTTCAAATATTGGAGAGTCCAGTGTTGAGTTTTTTTAAAAATATTTATGCTTAAATGAATGAAGAATACAATATGTGAACCTTGACTGGATCCAGGTTGGCAGGTTGTGGCACAAGCTATCAAGAATATTGCTGGCATTTTTACTTAAAATTTGCTCAGTACCCTGGCTGGTGTGATTCAGTGGATTGAGTGCTGGCCTGAGAACTGAAAGGCTGCTGGTTCAATTCCCAGTGTAGGGCGCATGCCTGGGTTGCAGGCCAGGTCCCCAGTAGGGGGTGAGAGAAAGGCAACCACACAGTGATGTTTCTCTCCTTTCTTTTCTTTTTTTAAATGAATACAATTTTTTTTAAAATTTTATTGTTGTTCAAGTACAATTTCTCTCCTTTTCTTCCTCCCTTCCCTCCTCTCTCTAAAAATGAAAATCTTTTAAAAAGTTGCTAAGAGAGTAGATCTCAAATGTCCTGGCTAAGGAAAGAAAAACAATGGTAACTACATGAGGTGACAGGGTAAACTAATTGTTGTAATCATTTCACACTATGTGCACATTTCAAATCATCATGTCACCTTGAACTTATACAATGTTAGCAGTCAATTATATGCCAGTAAAGATGGAAAGTAATATTATTGGGACTTAGGAAAATTTAAATATGAATTATATTTTTAGACATTTTTAATTTTTTTAAGTCTGATTGAAGGCTGGGGTTAGTTATATCCTTTGTCTTAGTTTACACCCGCTAAAGTACTTGGTAGTGAAGTGTCATGATGCCTGCAACTTAGTTTCAAATGGCTCAGAAAAAGTACATAATGCAAATGTAGCAAAATCTAGGTGAAAAGTGTGTGAACACACATTATACTACTCTTTGAATGTTTCTGTATTTTTCAAAATTATGATAGTCTGACAAATGGCAGTGAGATCCAAGGTTTGTAGCATGTTGTCATTTATTTGCTTATCAAGAGAATGAAAGCAGTCACACTTATTCATTGCCTACATCATCAGATATAAATAGTCTTCACTGACCGTACACCGTGTGGAGTCCCAAGCACTCGGCACTGGACTGTAAGCTCCACGAGGCCAGGGTGTGCTTTCCTTTCACCATTTCGTGTGCGGCAAGCACTTAGGCGAGCGCTAAGAAATAGTAGGTGGTAAGTTTTTGTTCACTGAATGGTGAAGTAAATGTGAAAATTCTGTTTATAATAGATATACTAACACTTTTATGGTTTCTATAGATCATTGCTTTTTGGAAGTTAACACAAAAATATACGATTAACATTTATGTATTTAGTCCCTTTGGCAACTCTCTATTTTTAGTTCAATTAACTCAACTTTAAATTTCAAGCCAGAATGCTGCTTTACAGTATTCTGAGTTGTTACATCTAAGCCTACCTTAACATTTTAATGTGGTTATTTAAGGTTGTTTTGAATCAATATTTATTTTAAAATAGATTTTATTACATAAAAATAACTTTGTGACTATTAATGACAAAATCAAACAAAGGATTCTTCTGCAACTTTGTTCAATTATCAAAGATTTCAAGTGACTCAAAGTTATTTTTTTCTATTAACACTAGTCATCATCTATCATTCACTTTTAGAATCAATGTTTGCAAACCCAGATGATAATAAAGGTAACATAGGGGCAAGCTCATCAAATAGTTGGTAAATTTCCCAGGTTGACTTGTCCTTATATTTAAAAGTGTTAAGTTCTGATACCCTCCAACATTTTAGAATTATGATACCCTCCATTATGAAATTATTAGGGAGCTGACCATCATCAAGGGCCTTTGTCAACCATTTGACACTATTAACTGCTACCTTTTTTTGGTAACTCTTTTCTCAGTTATTGAGGAAGTATGGTAACTCTTTGTAGAGGCAATGGGCCTTAGTGACAGGCCATAGGGAATAAAGGGCAGAGTGAAGAAACCTTATTTTACTTTTTCCCAACACCATTTATTCTTTCCCAATCTCTCCCACCTCTACCCACTCCCTTCCTCCCCACAATCACCACGCTGCTGTGTCCGTGAGTTCTTTCCCTTTTGTTCAATGCCTCCACACCTCCAGTCCCCCAACCTTATTTTTAAAGCAAATTCCCATGTAATCCCTTTTAGCACTGTCATTTATATTAACCCATAAAAAAATTCGCCTATTTATTTAATATCAATCTTAATCTGATCCTAAAATGGTTAGGCTTAACATAACCTTATCCAATGGTAGAATAAGAAGCTTGCCATGTGGAAGTGAACAATATTCTGAAAACCATGGGAATTAACTCACCTCACTGCTCCAGAATACTTTGAATTGGTGTGGTATAAACACATGCATATTCTATATGAAGACTTGGGGGTGGAGTCCAGGCTTTCTATTGCCTTGTTCTTCCTATTTACTTGTTACGGGGGTAAGTCACTTAATTTCTTGGGTCTTATCTTCCTCCAGTTTTAAAATATCACTGACTCTAAACAGAGAACTGACTAATAAGAAAATAATAAAAACAACCAAACAGGATGTTGGGACAGTCTGCCAGGTAGTAACATGCATGTTATTATTTGAAATTAATGAGTGAAATTAAAAAATAAAACCCCAAACTATATATTTTAGCAGGAACCTTAGGAAGAAAACAAAAAGCCATTGTGACTTCATATAATGAATGAAACTGGGAAATGAAAAAAACATCTGCGTTGGGGGGGGAACAATTTGTTACATAGTTCCTTATGAAATACAAAGCAACAAAGAATAGGGTTTAGTTACATAGATGCAAGGAAGCTAAACCATTAACAAATGACACCACATCAGGCATCTCAGAGAATAGGATTGAAAAAGACAAATACACTTCACAAGAGAAATTCAAATGGCTAGTTGATATGTGAAAAGGCCCTCAACAGCATCAGTGATCAGGGGGATGCAGGTTAAAACCACAATGACAGAATACAGGAGGGGCCAAAACTGAAAAGAACAACCAATACCGAGTGTGGTTGAGGATGCGCAGCAACCGGACTAGTACATGGCTGGTAGGATTATAACACTTTAGAAACAGATTGGCATCATTTATTCAAGTTTATGATACACATATCCACTTCCCAGTACATACGATATAGAAAATGATATAGACACGATGGAACACATATATAAAGAATGTTGGCAGTAGCATTTATAACAGTTCCAAACTAGAAACTCAGATATCCATCAACAATAGAATGGCTAAATAAATTACGGCATATGCTACAATGGAACACTGTAATATTTAGCAATTAAAATGAACAAACTAGCCCTGGCAGGTGTGGCTCAGTGGATTGAGTGCTGGCCTATTGGATCGAAAGTCACCGGTTCCATTCCTGGGTTGCAGGCCAGGTCCCCAGTTGGGGGTGTGAGAGAATCAACCACACATTGATGTTAAAAAAAATGACTAAAGCTATATGAACAA